GAGATCAGCAGGACATGCTCTTCTCTATCACTGTTCCTTCAGAACAGTTTAGGTCCAAAAGGACCGTCAAGAAACAGAGATATCGACAGCAATCCTGGAGATCCAAGATTGCATGTCGTGTCATTGTGATGTCAAGCACCGCCCATCTCCCATCCATTGTTTCTTGTTCTGCCCTCTGGTTTGTTGGAAAATAAATTGACCCCTTCCTCTTTGTGACAGCCCCTCAGATACTGAAATACTGCTATCATGTCCCCCCTAGTCCTTCTTTTCTCTACACTGGCCAAACCCAAATCCTGTAATTGTTCTTCATATGTTTTAGTCTCCAGGTCTTTAATTATCTTGGTTGCTCTTCTCTGCATTTTTTCCAAAGTCTCAACATCTTTTTTGTAATATGGTAACGAAAACTGGATGCGGTATTCCAGGTGTGGCCTTACTAAGTCTCTATAAAGCGGTACTCATATTTCACATGATTTTGATTCTATGCTTGTGTTTATACACCCAAGGATTGTGTTTGTGTCTAGTCCTTGGAAAACAACTCTCATGGATAAAAGTTATGTTGTGGATGATACAGTGCTATTTTTGTCATTTTACCTGATCCTACCTGCATGCTGAATTGCAAAATTCAGAAAAAAACCTAAGGCTAATTGAGCTGTGGGGCATAATGCAGTACATATTGTGTTTCCCCCAAAATAAGACAGGGTCTTTATTTTTTGACCCCTGAAATAAGCGCTTGGCCTTATTTTCGGAGAGGTCTTATTATTTTTGAGGTGCAGGAGGCGGTGAGCGTGGTCACCTCATTGCTGCTGCTGTGTTGCAATATTTTCAGGGGAGGGCTTATTTTAGCCCATGCGCTCAAAAGCACGATTGGGCTTATTATCTGGGGAGGTCTTATTTTCAGGGAAACAGGTTATTGAGATCTTTTGGGAGGTCTCATCTGTCATTCGCTCCCAAAAGTCAGGAACAGATGTCTAGGCTACACAAGTAGTCCTCAATCTATGGCCACAATTGAGCCAAAATTTTCTGTTGCTAAGTGAGACATTTGTTAAGTGAATTTTACCCCATTTTGTGACCTTTTTTGCCATAATTGTTAAGTTAGTAACACGGTTGTTAAGTGAACTTAACACTTACTCCTTTGATTTTGCTTGTCAGAAGGTTACAAAAAGTGATCACATGACATGGGGACACTGCAACCATCATAAATATGAATCAGTTGTCAAGCGGCTGAATTTTGAACACATGACCATAAAGATGATGCAATGGTCATAAGAGTCAAAAATGGTCATCCGTCACTTTTTTTCAGTACTGTTGTAACTTCAAACAATCACTAAGTTGAGCACTACATGTTTTGCTTAGGCATGAAGATTCATTTATTCACTGCAGCTCAAGTCTCATAGTCTGACTTATATTGCATTTCCTTTTGTGTTCTGTTTAGTTTCCATATGCAGCACCTCCTCCCCAGGAGCCAGTGAAAACTTTGAGGAGCCTGATCAACATCCGCAAAGACACACTGCGTTTAGTCAAGTAAGTCAGTGATTTCAGAACAGGGATTTGTTCTGCACTTTGAACCTTTAACTCAATCAAAGCAGGAAAAAATACCCCAACAAAGAGAACTGCCTCGCATTAAGATGACTTAGTGAATGCGACTTCCTGTGGCTTAAGGCTTTCTGAAGGGAACTTGTTTGCTTGAATGGGCTTGCCTAGGAGCTGCGGAAGAGAATACAAAGTTAGACCAGACAGAGGTGTGATGGGGTAACTATAGATTTGCTACTTTCCAGTCCAGCCTTTCTCAGCCTCCCCCCCCCCCCCCAGTTGTAAATCCCATCATTCCAAGCCACCTTGGTGGTGCTAGCTGGGAATTCAAAGAATTATCACCTCAGCACTTCTCAAAGGCCCAAGCTGGAAAAGCTACTCCAGGTCAAAATGGACTTTCCAAAGATTTTATCTCTCCAACTCAGCTTTCTAAAGCCCCTGTGGGTAGAATCACAAGGAAATGACCTTCTACAGGAAAAACAGAACATAAATAGGCCAAAGATGTCTTGGCCTAATTGACTGTAAACTTTGATATGTGTATAAATTAAAATACATTGCTGTAACAAATTGTCTTGTCTAGTACAGTAGCATGGCTGGTGTATGGCATGCACTTTTAGATATTTCTCTGGAACAATGCTGCTCCTCCTCTATTTAGATGACTTGGGGCTGTTTTGTTTTGTTTTTACTTTCCAAATTTGGGTTAAGAAAAAAAAAACCCATAGAATTATAGGGGCAGAAGGGACCTTTGGAGGTCTTCTAGTCCAGTTCCTGCCCATTTCAGACTAATAGTTGTCCAATCTTTTTTGAAAACCTCCTGTGATGGAGTATCCATAATTCTGTGAGACAAGCTGCAGAGTTTGTTTCCCAGTTGATATCAGGATAGTGAAAATTCCCCATTACTTCATTGGTGTGTTTCTTGCACATCTCAGCTATACTTAGCCAAATATAAGTATAGCAATGTCATTGCTTTTTCTTCCAATATTCCCTCAAATACTTTCAAGAAGGCTTTCATCTGTGATATTGTGTATTTCTGTAAAAATATAGTAATTCTTTACATACAGTACGACAACAACAAATTTGCAGCTTTTGGATGCAATTACATCAATAGCCCAAAACACAAATATGTCAGCAGAGGCAAGCTTCCCTCTGACACATCTTTATGTCAACCAGTTCTTGTCTTCTTCCGATTGTATTTGTGATTTAAATGCTGAAGCTTCCTAGCTCTCATCCGACATGAAAATCAGTCAGCAGAAATCCCCATCTTTGTGGATTTCTTTAATTGGGAGGTCTAGCTACTCAATCTCATAGGCCAGCTGCTTATTGACAGTGTCCTGTACTTTAGGACTCATGAAAGCTGGGTGGTATTTTTTGAACTTGACTTCAAAAAGTAAAGTGAGAATTAGCTCTGAACAGCTACAGTATTATGTACAGATGTTGCCTGTTGGAAGCAGTCCATCCGCTCTTGTGCAGCAGGGCGTATCCGTGTGCAGCTCCTCAAGATTAACACGGGGATTAAGTGTGAACAATTCTGGGGAAGAATTTCTCCAAGTGTTGTGTAAAATGATTTGATCAGCTTCTTGTCTCTTTTTGGTCTTTATCTTCCCTGTCTGGCTTTCAGGATAACTACAGGTGACAATAGGATTTAAATAAAGTTGAATTCATTTTTGTTGCTAGGCTGGGATTAGAGGGGAATAATTGCTTTCAGTGTAGATCTGCATGGAGGAAGAGAGAACTTCCTTAGTGGTCAATTCTCCTCATTTCAGTCCTGAGAACTAAATAGTTGGATTCTGGACAGCATAAGAGCAATTAGGAACAGGTCTCAGTATAAGATATTTTTCTACCAAGTTAATATGCCTTGATTTTGATTCCTAACTGCTCTCTATAACCTTCCCCACCACCCACCTCCGATCTAAAACTTGCATATGGTTCTACATGCAAGTGCATTCAGAAATTAAGTGTGTTTGAAGTATGGCTTAAAACAGGCATCCTTGCAGTGGAAGTCATTTATAATTTTTCCCTGTAAATGCACTGCCGTGTATTCCTTTGGGTTTACTCTGTTTTTGCAAAGGTAACAAGTCTGTGTTTGTCTCCAGAGAATCCAAACAATAGGCAAAGATGTAAAACATGCGAGCAAGGCCTTAGTTGGTACTTGTTTTCGTCCTGCAATTCAGCAGTGTCAGTTTTCATTAAATCAGGTGAATAATCTTCAACTGTCACTTTCTCAGCAACAACCTGGAAGAATTGTATTATGCTAATGGACTAGCTTTCTGGTTTCACATTCTTGTCCTTTATCTCTTCTGTTCTCATACTCATACTTGGGAGTCAGTAATTCTGGGCAAAAGCTGTCTGTGCAATAACCTGGGACTTCAATGTTTTTGCAGAAATGGTTTAGCACATGGGTGTCAAACTCGATCGTGTCACATGACATTTTTTTTGCCTTTGCGGAGCTGGGGTGGGTAACTCTGGTGTTCTCTCATACTGACAAATAGCAGATTAATGTGTAGATAAAAAGGATACAATAAAACATTTGGATTATTTATTGAGAAAGAACTATTGAAAAAGTGGAAGAGGGATGCATTCAGTACTTTGCTAGAAGGCAGAGGGGCATGAAAACTGGCTGGGTGACTTTGGGCCAATGGTTCTATCTCAGCCCAATCCATCTGACAAGATTGTAGTTGTGGGAAAAAGAAGAGGAGGGAGGAGTGTTAGGTATGTTTGCCGCCTTGAATTATTTATAAAAATAATAAAGGTGGGATAATAAATAAATGTAGCCAATAGGTATAAATATTAGCTGAAGTAAGCAATATAGGGACATATTCTCATACCAAATCTCAGTATTGTGATTTCAACACATGCTTCCAGAAGTATGGAAACAGCACATAGCCATATTAAAGGCCTCCTTATATTTGCATCAGGCCTAATAAGCTATTTTCAGTTTTTATTAGGAAGCTTCTTAGGTCTACTAGGAGATTCTGAACCTTGAACTCCTCGTACTTTCGGCATACAGAATAATATGCTCTGTTGCTGACCTATGAGCTTACTGTCAGAGAGCAGCCTCTTAAACTACCACTAGATATTTCTTCTGTAATAAAAACAATGGACAAACTTTCTGGAATGTATAAGGGGAAAAATGTCTACAAAAGCTTTGGGTACAGAAACTCTTGGTGTAATCACCCAAAACCTGTGCCAATCCTGGATTCAAGAACCCTTTACTCTAAGTATGTCCCAGTGAAGATAGTGAGATAGTAGTTCAACAAAAGGTAATACTATTTCTTATGGTTAAGGTCTAGAACAGCGGCCCCCAACCTTTTGAGCTCCAGGGGCAAGTTCCATGGAGAGAGATTTTTCCATGAACCAGAAGGGGTGTGGTTTCATGTGTTGCCTACATCCCACAGATTGGACTTTGCTTGTTTGGGTGGCCCGATTTCTGGCATGCTGCGGATTGATGCTGGTCCATGGACCAGAGTTGGGGACCGCTGTTCTAGAACAAGGGTTAAGACCAGTGGTGGGATTCAGCCAGTTCGCACCACTTCGGGAGAACCGGTTGTTAATTTTCTGAGCAGTTTGGTGATTGTTGGAAGAAATCAGGGCAGAGAACCGGTTGTTAAATTATTTGAATCCCACCACTGGTTAAGACATTTTCATGACATGGAACCTGTGGTTCCACCACAAAACCGCGTTCGACTAAAGCGCGCTCGACGAAACCGCGTAGCTGACATCATCACAGGGCGACAACAGCGCGGAGACAGAAGCATGCTGTAAACGCTAAACCTAAAATTAACCCCTAAACCTAACCCCCCTAACCCTAACCCCCCTAAACCTAATCCTAAACCTAACCCTTAACCTAACCCTAAACCTAACCCTAAACCTAATCCTAACCCTTAACCTAACCTTAAACCTAACCCTAACCCTTAACCTAACCCTAAACCTAACCCTTACCTTAAGTTGAATCGGCTTGCTTTCAAAGCACTATTTAAAGCGCCCTTCTTTCTCCGCGCTCGCTGTTGTCGCCCTGTTGATGACGTCAGCGACACGGTTTAATCGGGCGCGCTTTAGTCGAGCACGGTTTTGTCGTGCCACGGGAACCTGTAGCTGTAGTTAGGGAAAATTGGCAAGGTTTTAATGAACTTCAGTTTCTTATGAAACTTCATCAAGTTCTTATGTAACCCTAGGGTTCCAAGGAACATAACTGAAAAAATGCTGGTCTCGTATTTCTAAGAAACCAGAGGCAATTGTTTACAATAGTAATAGCACAAAGATTTGCATACCGCTTCCCAGTGTTTTACAGCCTTCTTTAAGCGGTTTACATAGTCAGCCTATTTCCCCCAACAATTTGGCTCCTCATTTTACCCAACTCAGAAGGATGGAAGGCTGAATCAGCTTTGAGACAGTCAATCGAACTCCTGGCAGTGAGCTGAATTGGCCTGCAATACTGCATTCTAACATGTACAATCATACCGTAGCAACCTTCAACTTGGTGCCTTCCAGATTAATTGGGATGATTACTCCTTGAAGTCCCCAAATCACTTCTTAAAAAGTTGGATCTTCAGCATTTGTACCAAATGTATGGTTACTTTGTTCTGCTCTGTTAGATGCACAGAGGAAGTGAAGTCTCCAGGCGAAGAAGTCAGCAAAGCGAAAGTCCAGTACAACGTAGAGTTCACGTTCGATACAGATGCACGGGTGGCCATAACCATTTATTATCAAGCCACTGAAGAATTTCAGAATGGAGTGGTGAGGTAAATCAAAGGAGAGCTGGGGAAAGGTATCATCTCATAGCTATCGTTGTTCATTGTTAGAGGAAAAGTGGACAGACTGTCAGTTCAGGGAACTGCAAATTTGTAACCAAGATATACCCACGCAAAATACTCTGATAACCTCTGCTGTTTTATATCAAGTATCTGCTGTAGGAAAGCTGGTAAGTCCACAGCTAATTCCCTCCTAGCTTCAAATTGTAGGAAAGGTGGGGATAGAGGCAGGGGTGGGATTCAACTGATTCGGATCGGTTTGGGCGAACCAGATGCTAATTTTATTGGTTTGCCAAACCAGTACTTGCAAGGACTGGCTGGCCCCGCCCGCCACCCTATCCCGCTCCTCACAGGATTCTCCATATGGCCCATTTTGGATGCCAGGTAAGTGCAGGACCCACATGGAGTCTCTGGGAAGGCAAAAAACGGGCCTCCTAGAAGTTCCAGGAATTCGGAAATGGGCCTGATTCTGGCATTCGGAGCCCGGGAGAGGCCATTTTCACCCTCCTGGAGGTTCGAGAAAAGCCTCCAGAGCCTGGGGAGGGCTAAAACACCCCCCAGTGGTGTTTTAAAGGGGGAGTAACACAGGAGCCTGAGAAAGGCCATGGCCACGCCCACCCAGCAACCGGGCAGAGAACCGGTTGCTACAATTTTTCAATCCCACCCCCGGGATTGTGCCAGATTTAAATTTCAGCTAAGCAGAGGTTAATGGCCCCATTTGAAAAGGTGCTCTCCAAGGTTCTTGCAACAAATATGTGCCTGAATCGTAGCTTCATGCTTTCCGCCTTGTGGTGTGACAGAATTTAGCCTAAAATGGCTTTTGAGGACCCTATGCCCCGTGAATTGGTTTGTGATGCATCACTGCAGATTCTGAAAACAGTGCTATTGTGGAAGTGTTCATGGAAGCCAGCTTAAATATGCTGATGTTACAAAGATGCAAATAAGGGCCTCCTAATCAATCAGCAGAGCTGAAAAATGAACGAAGGCTGCAGGTTGGATGGCCTTGAAAATAGGACCTCTTTATGACTATTTTCCATTTGAGAAAATGATATTCTAATAAGCATGATAATAGCAAATTAAAGGGGGAGTAACACAAAAATGAAAACGTGATATTGATATCATGCCTGAAAGAAGAGCTGTTTTCTGGGTGATATCTGCATTAGTTATATTAGTTTATGATAGCCACATGGTTAAAAGTGCTGGTTATATATTGCGAGACTAAGTTCTAGTCTCGTCTTAGGCCCAGAAGATGGCTGAGTGACTTTGGGCCAGACGTTCTCTCCCAGCCCTAGGAAGAAAGAATTGGCAAGCTATTTCTGAAAAATGTTGCTAAGAAAATTCCAGAGACTTGTTTTTGTAACCACCAAGAATCAAATTAACTGATAGCCCAATAACAACATTAATTGTTTAGGGGTGACTTTTTTTTACACATCTTTCAGTGGCTTAGTGATTCTTCAGAGCAGCATTGCAATTAAAATGATAAAACAACTGTATCATGAAATATATTACAGACAAGCAGAAATGATATATAACTTTATTGCTAGAATAGGAAAAAAAATTGGGTCAGTCAGGAGGTGGCTTTAAATGCTGTCTGAAGATGATGCTCCATATCTTGGAAGACCCCCTGCTAGGTTGGGAAGATAAGAGCATTGTGTGGGATTGTTCACTCTGGGTTATCCACTTTTTTCTTATAGTTATATCCCCAAGGAGAGCAGTTTACACTCCGAGACTGTCCATTATAAGCGAGGTGTATGCCAGCAGTTCTGTTTGCCTTCCCATAGCATTGATCCCTCAGAATGGACTGAAGAAGAGGTAAGGAAGACGCATGCTTCAAAGAAATTAATAGTGAGGAATTACTTTTTTGAGCAAGTATCCTATTAGATTCATATTTCATCAGCGCCCGTGCATGCTGTACAAAATAGAGATCTTTATCGGGGAACAAAGTATACTGTTTTACATTAATGGAGTAACACATGTGTACTGTATGATTGTCTTTTTAAAAATCAGAGTGTTTCCAGACATTTTGTGCTAAATGAGGACTCCCCAGGGTGCCTCCCCAGGCATTTCTAGTATTGCACACCTGTGGTAATGCTTGCTGGGCACATGAGTGGATTACTATAATTCTGCTGGTGCTACCAGTATTTTACTCTCTAAGATCACTTGCCTTTTTACTTCAGGCCTCTCATTCTTTGCAGCTGAGCTTTGATCTGGACCGCGAAATATATCCCATGGTGGTTCTTGCAGTGGTAGATGAGGGAGATGGTAAGGATGCTCTTAAGGTTCATGTTCATGCTTTATTTATTTGTTTATTCTATTTGGTATACAGTTTACTTTCTGTTCAAAGAAATTGTGACAAGCAAGGTTTAAAAAAAATAGAGAATTAAAATTGAAAATTTAATCCCTGAGCAATAGCCTGGTAAAGAAGCTACATCTACACACTGTCTTAATTTTGTGAGAAGTTGGACAAGGGATGTATTTCCTATGGATGTGTTTCATTGCCTGAGAGCATGGAAAAGAAGACCAAGGAATGCAGAGTTTTTTATCCCAGAACTTTCTGCCTAGTCCTCATGTTCTGGGGTAGCTCAATCCACTAATCTGCCTGTTGCAACATATGAGATCTCTTCTGCAACCCCTGAAATGGATCAGAATATTCTGGGATAGACAATTTTGCACACTCATTCTCATTCTCTCTCTTTCTCTCTTTCTCTCCCCCTCCCTCCCTCTCTCTCTCTGGGGTAGACAATTTTGCACCACTAGAGTGTGTGTGCACACATTCTCATTCTCTCTCTCTCTCTCCCCTCCCCCCACCCCCAAACTGGTAGTGAAGATGATAGCATTTCATGCCCGCTAAGCATTCTACAACCCATTTATTAACTGCAGATGACTTCCTCCAGTGGGTTCATGTAGCTGTTGAATAGGATGTGTTCCAGATTGGATCCTGTAAGATGCTGCCATCCTATCAGTCAAAGTACAATAAACCCTCAGCATCACTTTCTAGACATGGAGAGGCTGGAACCACTATAGAGCCCAATCTTCTCTGAAAGTTCAGAAAGAATACCATGGTCAATGTATCAAAAATTGGTTACAGATCCAGGAGAATTAATGGGCTCAGTCTTCTCAGCCAGTTTCAAGTATAGACCTTTCGTTAAGATGAATAAAGCAATTTCAGTATCATATCCCTATTGAAAGCTAAACTGGAATGCGTGCAAATAATCAGCATCCTCCAGATGTTGATCGGATCGCGATAGGAAGCTGAATTGACATGTCTTGCAAGTTGCCACTGTACATTCTAAAAATTACTGCCGATTAAATTGATTTTGTGTCCTGTTGAATATCGTTAGTAACTGAAACCCTTAGAAAGGAATCTGTAATGAACCATATATGTATATTTAATTACCCTGGTTATAATTATGGTCAATTAAGACTACTACTATTAAGGACAACCGCAGGGGAAAAATGTAGCAGTCCACGTCAATTTCTGGAAAAGTTATGTATCATCCTGAACCTCAATTTTGGATCTTGTCTTGCAGAGCATATGGGTCACTGCCATGTATTGCTGGCAACTTTTGAGAAGGTAAACATTGCGCTCTTGCTGATCCAATGTGCAAAATGCATGAATCTAAATTTCCATGTTGAATGTATGCAAGTTGAATCAATGTAATAAATAAAGTAAAATATATAGTTACAAGGTTAAAGATATATAATGAAGAACAGGAAGATAACACAACTACAGGGGTATTTTTTGAGCAGTGGCAATTTCGTAGAATAATGCTGGGTGAGTAAAAATGGTCTGAGTTAAAAGGAGAGTGATTGTTAAAAAGAAAAAGGCAGGGATGATATGAATAGGAGACATTTTCTTTGTGGAGTACAATTGTGTTTTAGGGAGTGTGTTTCATCACACCTGTCCTCTAGAATTTCTTTTGATGGACTGTGTTGTTGAAGTCCACCTGAACATTTGTATTTCTTCCTCTCAGCATGCGGATGGCGGCTTTTGTGTGAAACCCCTCAAACAAAAGCAAGTGGTGAGTGTGTGGCTGGTGGGATCAGGTTCTCTGTTTTCCCGCACGTACTGGTTCCTGTTACTTTTTAGGGAAAGCTCCTTGTGCAGCGGCAAGGAATTTGATGGCCATCCAGCCCATTTCCAACACATTGGTTGCAATGAGCTTTTAACCAACCAGTGGATAAAAACCAAAGGTGGTCACCAATTCACTCTAAGCATTTTTCTCCTATTATGGAAAGGTGCCTGTTCAAGTTAGATAATGCAGTTTTTCACTGGGGAAAAAAACAGAAATAAGAAAATTGTTTCACAGTCTTTCTTTCTGGAGTTTCATATCCCATTTCGACCCTTACTTTCCCATATAATTTCAGTGCTGTGCTTTTTCTAGGTGGATGGAGTGAGCTATCTCCTTCAGGAAATTTATGGGATAGAAAACAAATATAACACACAGGATTCAAAGGTGAGAACTAGAGCTAAATGTGCAGAATAATGTACATGTTGTACAAAGTCTCAACCAGATTGTCTGGAAGTTTCCATGTTAAAACCCTTCCCTCCCTCCCTCCCTTCTTTTCTTCCTCCCTCTCTCCCTTCCTTTCTTCCTCCCTTCCTTCTCTCCCTCCCTTCCTCTCCTTCCCTCCCTCCCTTTCTTCCTCCCCTCCCTCCCTCCCTTCCTTAAATTCACTATGGACACATGTTTGTAAGGACATGCATACCAGCAAGCTTTTCTAATCCAGGTGGCAGAGGATGAGGTGAGTGACAATAGTGCAGAGTGTGTAGTCTGCCTCTCCGATGTCCGAGACACCTTGATCTTACCTTGCCGCCATCTCTGTCTCTGCAACACTTGTGCTGACACCTTGCGCTATCAAGCTAACAATTGTCCCATCTGCAGATTACGTAAGTCCTGATCTTTTTTTTTTTTTAATGTTAAGATTGGGTCCTCTCTGGAAGATCCGATGTATGTTTGATCCTCTCACTTTGAGAAATGAGCAATTGCCTACACCCGAGATAGGCTGAAACAGAGCCAAGGTGGCGCAGTGGTTAAATGCAGCACTGCAGGCTACTTCAGCTGACTGCAGTTCTGCAGTTC